CTCAGTACAAGACTCAATTTATAGAGCATAACTTCGATCCTGTGTGCTAATTTATAGGATGTGAAAGAATACTAAAAAAATAAAAATAATTGTCATAATAAAAGTATTATAAAAATGATTTCACATCATCTAATACTACTAAATATTTTTTGCAAATTTTCTGCCATAATACAGTATTTCAGAGACTACTGGCAACTTAAACAATGGTCAATTATTATGAATGCATACTGTATACTACCAATTATCCAAGTTGATTTCCCCACACAATAGAAATTGATCAAAAGTAGGACACTAAACGTTGCCAAGCCATTTAATATTCAAACTAGATCACTGCTGTCTTGTGCTAAAGTAAATTAAACTAGGACGCGGTATATGCTATAAACATAATCATAATACAATAACACACCACATGTTCATCTTGAATCAAACATCATTTTGAGCTCAGTAAAACAGTCCTCCTCAGGTCAAATTTAGAAATATGGATTTATGCCTATGAAATACAAAATGTCTTAAGGAGAGTTGTATTTCTGTAAAATTGTGTCTGTATTGTGTCTGCTCAGCAAATGAAGGGATGAACTATTTCATACTGTAGGACACTTTGTGCAGAGGAATATAGCAATAAACCTACAATAGGGTTTTTTTATCCTATAACCGAAAGAAATAATAAACTTCAATCTCAGACTCATTACACTGTATTATAATAATATTTGGTTGGAAATTTGTTACTGTGTACACAATGTCTACTATTGTGGATCTTGCTGAAAAAATGTACTTAAAAATGTGCAATATCATTTTATTGAGGTGGAGGAGTGCCTCACAGTTCAACATATTTCTCATTCTACAGTTTTAAAAGCAAATTTCTAGATTACAGTACTTGCACAAGAAGGAATGCAACATACTAAGTAGCATTACTGTAGACTGAGGAATTTACATAAAAAAGAAATTAATATATTAAAATCAAGGAATTTGTTTTGTAGGCACTAACCAATGCTAAAAATTAAATATTATGTTCAATTTTAATGATCGAGCTTTTACTTTCATCTTTATAATACATGGATTTTAGCATAAAATTAGAGAGACGGTAATTGATACTTTCAAAAGGCAACAGTAGGTAGAGTAGATCCATATGCTTGCGTTCTGATTTCATAGTCTTGCAATTAAATCCTGCAAGACTCATCACTTGCTTCAATTTTCAACAGTAGCCTAAAAAAATGTATTGCAAACAAGTACAATTAAATTTCTTAACACACTGAAGGGGTGTCTGACGAAAATCCGTTAATGGAAAGTACAAATTTTTAATGTTTTAAAACTGGAGAAAAAAGGGCTTAACCACTGTATACTATAGATCTTCAGGGGTTTAGAACCAAGTCAAAGTCTCAAGTTTTTTTAAGGAGATCCACCATAAAAACTCTAGAATGTACAACAGGGGCAAACTGACTTGGATCAGCCATGGTAGTGGGTATGGCTATAATGGTCAGCATATGGGAAGACAATTCAAACTCATGTTCGATAAGGTGTAGTGAGATTAACTTTCACATGTTATTTGTGCACAGCACCAATCGCATCTCAGTGCTCTGGCTAAAACATGATTGAGTGAAACCAGCGATTGATAAACCTCCTTGGTTTAGTGCACAAACTACAGTACTGTATCACACACAGATCAATCAGAATGGTTGATAGCTCTGGTCACTACTCCACACTACTGTATATAAATTTGCTACTGTAGTGTCCTAGGGATGCATTTACCTCACACCATGAATGAATGTGGTAGGATAAGCAGTTTTATTCTAAACATTGTTTACTCAATATTTTGTAGTTCCCACAAGTATAGACCTGATCTACTGTAGCAATATGAATCAATTATAAAATTCTGGGAATCTGGTGTGAATGAAAAAGTGATCTAATCATTGTATGATTGGAATGATAATGTATATTATTAGAGCACATAGAAAAACTTATTAGATTGTTACACTTTAAAAAAAAAAAAATTATGAGGGCGGGATATTTTTTTTTTGGAAAGGGAGGGGGGGGAGGGATGGGATTATACCAGACCTTATCATTTAAGGTGCGCAATCTCGCTCACACACCATCGCGCACCTAAACTGCCATCGATGGGTGTGGAAAACAACTCGCCTTACATTTCAAAACAACTTTTTTTGCTGACCAATTAACTACCAACGTTTAAGATGCTAGATCTAGGCTGAAAAACGTCTTTGTACCAATATATCGTGAGTCATTATACTTTATTGTGTAAATGTACGAACTTCTACAAACCGAACAAACAGTTAATAAACAACGATTTTTGGACGAAATAATGCAATAATCACATTTACTGTCTAGGAATTAACAAATAACGAAGGCCTAGCACTACACCCTGTGAATGAACTATTCGTACTGCTTTCTCAGTCCCAATAGCGTACTGCCAGATATTATCTATCGCTTTAAAACAACACACCAGCATTAAAGTTAAGTGGTTAGACCTAGTAAAAATTAAGCCTTCTATTGTTTAATAAAGTACATTATCGCTCCTTAAAAATCAATTGGAATCAAACTGAAATGAAGACGAAATTCAAAGCAAGTTTATACAATGGCTGACTCTAAGATAGTAGATAGTTTATTCGGATTTGGATGTTGTTAGACTCATCAGTGTAAATTATAAATGCATAGCTTCACTTATTCTTCTAACAAGACACTTTTCAGAAGCATGTTGCTAAAATTTAATTATGGAATAAATTTTGTAGAGAATAAAATTTAAATTTGTTAGATTTATTTACATTTATAAAGTTTGTTCTATCAGCAAGCTGTCACGCAATGAAACTTTGGGTGATCTGACGTCATCACAGCCAAGCACATGTGTACATGACCCCACGAAAAAAATTAACCAATTACTGTAGCTGGCAGAGTTTTGGAGGCCCGACCTGATGTCTGATGTTTACAACGACCATGCAACAACCAACCAGCAAGTGGCATCGTGACTACGAAGAATGTGTTAGGTTTAGGGAAAAAATACCAAACTGAAAATGCACGTAAAAACAATATAAAAGCATTCATTTTGTCGGTAATTAAATTTGCTGTACAGTACAGCAAAACAACAGGTACTGTATACTGTATGTATTACATATGTTAACTTTTAATAGGCTAGTCATACCGAACCCACAGGAGATTGCTAGCTAGACCATGCCTATTTCAGCGGCTAGGCCCTAGCTAGCCTACAGATATAGATATGTTACACTAACCAAAATTTCCGGAAATCCGAACACCGTAACCGCTCCCGATGTGGGGTGGGGAGGGGGTAGCAGTATTGGGAGAGTGCACTTTATTATTTCTCTACATGCAAATATTGGAAGTTAAATTTAATGTCTTATTGACTCCTGTTGATTGCACTGTAAAGCGATTGAACATTCATCTGTAGTATTTCTTTAACCTCCCCCACGCCATCCTGCAAAATAATCACTCACCTGAAAATTATGGTGAGTGTTTTATTGCTTGCCTGCCATTTTCAAATAACAAGGCCTGTTTGCATGAACAGAACGAACATGACATCGTTCTTCGAAGTGGAAGATGCATTTAAACAACTGTCCTGTGATTCAATGGCCTTTCCAAAACTAGGCCTACTGTATTCCGGTGAAAAAATCAGACATTAATCAAGCATCAAAGGGAAGGGAACACCCTAATTATAGTTAGTAGGCATAGGCACCTAGGCTTTGGTTTTTACCTTGAGCTAGGCCAGCCTTTGCCTGAACTTTCTTTCTTGATGTTGTACTGTAGGTTAGTTTTTGCCCAACAACAACCAATCCAACCAAACATAACAATCACAAGGAAGACCGCCCACTTGTATTGCATGATGTAAACAGTTATTTTTAGCGGCGAGAGTTTTCGTAGAACATGTGAGTCTTCATGCTGTGAATCAGTGATCTGATGAGCCCTCTGGGCGGGTCTCTTTAGGGACGGAAAACAGTGTCTATTTTTAACCGCAGTTAGCAAGCTCTTTTTAGTGACAGTAAATAGCAAGTTTAAAGGATGGGCTTTGCAAGTTCAACTTTACAGGGATCCCAATGTCTGATCTAATCAATCGAAAGAGTTTGAAGTCTGCCGAATTCAGAACCAATTCCTTTATATTTTGTGAGCATTTGTTTTTTGTAAAGTTGTTTTTATGCAGTTAAAATAAATGAATAAAATATAAAATAAAATTATTCCCACATCAATATTTCCAAATTTGTTGATGAGGGCAGGAGTAATAATCTAATAAATCTTTCTATATGCCCTTAGTGGAAATTGGTTACATAAAAATGAAAATGTTTGCAATAAGTTGAATGGGCAACAAATTAAGTAAGAATTATGCCCAACAAGAGCGTAAAACTTTAGCAGACTATCAAATTTGGTTGTAAACTATTGACAGAGAGTATAACAAACACGAACAAATATATGCTAACTTGGCCTAGCCTAGGCCTACTTTTTTGTTGTTGAAAAGACAAGCAGCTACCTACCTAGGCTACCTGTAGGCTATATTTTAGAAAAGAAGACTAGGCTAGGCCTAGCTAGGCATACCATAGATAAGTATTACTATCAAGGTAATATGATTATTTATTCCATCATAAATTGGCTAGGTCTAAGCTTTTTTGATGATTATATTCCACAGTAGGCCTAGGCCTATGCCCTAGTGAATCAATGGCAGTAGTATTTAGGCCTAGGCCTAGCTAGGCCTAGAATAGCACTTAAACACAGCATACAGTGTGGCAAATAGCCTAGCCTAGGCCGGCCTAGGCTGGTGTTTTATGACCAAAATAGGACAGACAGCCATTACGTAACCTTCCTTTAACTAGATTAGCGGTGGGTTACAAAATAGGCTTATCCTTATTCAGGTCACCCACTGTCCATCTGGCCTGGACTTAAGCCGCGCTTACAATTCAGAGAGTTATTGTAGCCTATAGTATGTAGCAGCATCGCCCGACACCACCCGATGACTAGCTCAAACACACAACAAAACGAAAACAACTCACCGTATCTTTTCTTTCCTTTCCAAAGGCATGACTATAGTATAAAATCCAAGAGATACATGTACCAGTAATCATTCAACGTCTGTTTAATGGCACACATCAATCGCAGTGTGTCCATATTACTTTAAAACTCGGACAGAAACAAAGTAAACTTCAACCAAGAACTATTCACCCACCGCGTCGGCCATTTTCGTAGATTATTTTATGCAAATATATGGGTCAAGAGTATGAAGCGTGATGACCTCAATGTATCGCTGCCCGATTTTTAGTGGGTCGCTTCGTGTGTGTACGAATAATTACGACAAAACCCGAGCACATCACAGAGTGTGAGGATGACGACATCAGATAATTTTCAACCAAAAAACTATTATGTATGTTTACTTCACGACAAAATATAACGCAAATGGGTGGATTCATTAATTTCCTGTTCGATCAGTGCAAATAAGGACCTTGAATATTGTAAACTGTTAAAGTAATGTATCAAAAAAAAAGGAAAGAACATAACAACAAAATGGATTAATACTGTAGTAGGCCATGTTTTACCATCACTATTGGACATTACACAACAATATCTGTCATCGGTTTACATTTTAAAGGTTACTTTTAATTTTTAAAATCGATGTTTTATTTTTTTTTCACATGTACTTTTATTTTCGTTGTTTTCTAAATGAGATTTGACTAAGTCTCTGCTAAAAAACAAAAACAAAAAAACGCTAGGCCTATTATTACTCTGAGTTTTTAATATATTTTGTTTAAAGTATTCTTGATTCTTAATAAATAATATTAAATATCATTCTTAATACTATTAATGTTGTATTTATTTTACTATGAGTATATGAGAGTGATTCTGATAAATTAGATAATTAAAGAAAATGATACTATAAAATAATGATACTATAATATAATAAGCATACGTAATAGGCCACGATGTACATAAACAGTTCATAAACTTATTTAAGCAGAGTATAATATAATTTTTGGTAGAGGTTGACATAAAACAGTGCAATCAAATCGTCTTGCTCTATGAACCTCTTATCCATCAAGCACATGTGTGCGATTTCAGTCCATAGAGGGCAGTAGCTCAAATGTTGCTATATCAGAAAACTAACAAGTAGAGTGGATATCAAAATGGTTATACTGTACTACCGTTACTCTTTTTGAGTAGTATTGTAAATATATTTTATGTATTATTTCTATATAATTCTGTAAACTGAGTGGATGAGAAACAAAAAATTTGTTTCAGTGATTCAGTTCACACTTTGGTTCCAACCAGGCATGGGGTAATCGTAATCTGTAATGTAGGAATTGTAATCATTACATTAATTTTTAATGTAAATGAGAGTGTAACTGTAATTTGTAATTGGGCTCAAAAATCTAATTTGTAATTGTAATGTAATTATAATTGGGAAAATGTAATTGTAATCATGGCAATTACATATGAATAGATATAAAAACTGTTTGTTTTTATTAAAATCTCAAAGTGACATCCAATACATACTCCAAGTACCGAAAATGCACGCCATCATGATGTCAATATTTTGACATTAATTATGTCATCATCAGGAATATGATCCACTGGACATCGTTTGGACAGCAAAAAATCTCCGAGTCTACTTTATTGCAGAAATAACTTCCAACAGTTTATCCAACTGTAAACTGTTTCCTAATGTTATTACTGTTATTTCACATAATCATAAACCAAGGAGTTGTAATTTGCTTTACAATAGGATGTCCTATTACGGTATGTAATAAGTTCCCCACTGAATACAAAGCTAATTTTACTGAGAATGTCCATGGTTAAAAAATACCGGAAGAGTTTAATTTTTCCATATAAACCATATTCGTACTTAACCCACAAACTACCTAAAATTTATGGGTTGCAAAATATTACGATAATTGAACTTTGGTTATTTTATAATAAGTGAGCAAAAACTACCCATCTACAGTATAATTCAAGGATTTATACCATTTGGCATCAACTGTAAGCAGAAGGTCTTTGAATCAAATCTCGATTACGATTGGGTTTTCCTCAAATTTAATATCAATTTATTATCATCGTAATTAAAGCTTAAAGTTATGAAAGTTGACAAGTGTCCTTTTTCAATACGG